AGAGAGAGAGAGAGAGAGAGAGAGAGAGAGAGAGAGAGAGAGAGAGAATGAACAGACTAGGTATGGTGGCACACACTTGTCAGTCCCAGGCACTAGGGAGACAGAGGCAGGAGAATCTCAAGGAGAGTCAATGGCCAACCTAGTCTATTTGGTGAGTTCCAGACTAGTGAGAGACCTGTTTTAAAAAGCAGTAGACAAAGCCTGAGAGACAAGTTTGCCTTCTGCCTCCTTCCACATGCATAACTGTACACACACACACACACACACACACACACACACACACACACACAGAGAGAGAGAGAGAGAGAGAGAGAGAGAGAGAGAGAGAGAGAACAGAATAGGGGAAGGAATTGATGCTAATTGTCAGACAAAGTGAAAAAGGAATAAGAAAAGTCACTGACTTGAGTTGAGAGCAGAACCAGCTTTGTTTTCTGAAACAGAGCAGATCTGCTTCCAGATCGAGAGAGACATGGGGGCCCCATCTGCAGCCATCCAGTTCCTTCTGTGCACTAAGCAAGACAAGACATAAGCACATGCTGTAGCTGGACTTTCTTTGAACCACCAGCTCCCAAATAATGACCTGGAGACTTCTTACTAAGTATGAAAGCTTAGCTGTAGCTTAGGCTTTCCCCTAACTAGCTCTTAATATTAAATTAACCCATTTATATTAACCTGCATTCTGCCACATGGCATGTTATCTCTCCTCCATACTGTATGTCCAACTTCCTCCACTTCTCGCTGGTGAATCCCACCTCCTCTTCTTCCCAGAGTTTCTATCTCTCCCTGAGAGTCCCACCTATCCTCTCCTGCCTATCTATTGGCAATTCAGTTCTTTATTAAACCAATCAGAAGGTACTTGACAGAGATACATCTTCACAGTACAAAAGATTATCCCACAGCACAATGCCTCACCCCGGACAAGTATATGAAAATTCAGTATATGAAAACATGTTCAATCCCATAGCAATCACAGGAATTTAAAGAAAAATCAAGTCATGTTTTTCCTGGGAATGAGAGGTCTTAAAACATTTATTGTTCGGAAAGATGCAAAGCAAAATGTTTGGGTGTTTTTGAGAACATGAACTGGATGACCTTTCTGAAAGTGTATGTATCAAAAAGCAAAATACGGGCATTGCTTGCTGCTCTGCATGTCTGCATCTGGGAGTCACAGCTGTAGTCCAGAAGACCTCTGTGGTGCCTCATAGAAGATCCACCTCTCTCCACTCCCAGGAGTGGACACAGATTAACCCTCTGTACATATTGTCATTGTATGTAAGGAATCATTTTTCACCCAGCGTGATAAACTCACCTCTTAACCTACTATTTCCTTAAGACACACTATTTAGAAATGGTATCACTACACCCCAATTTGCTTCAGATTGCTATGATAAAGCCCGTGGCCAAAAGTGACTTGAGGAAGAAAAGGTTTATTTGGCTTTCACTTCCATCGCTGTAGGAAGTCAGGACAGGAACTCAAGCAGGAACCTGGAGGCAGGAACTGAAACAGATACCAAGGAAGAACACTGTTTACTACCTTGCTTCCCATGGCTTGCTCAGCCTGCTTTCTTATACACCCCAGAACCATCGGCCCAGAACCATTTGCCCAGGATGGCACCACCCACAGTGAGTGGACCCCTCCCATACCAGTCATTAATCAAGAAAACACCCCAGGGGCTGAAGAGATGGCTCAGTGGTAAAGAGTACCAACTGCTCTTTGAGAGGACCTGGGTTCAATTCCCAGCA